CACCACTACACCTCTGCGTTTAATATTTTCTGGACAGAAACCCTCACAACTTTTGCACAAATCTATCAAATGAATAAAATTTTGGTTACAAGGACAATTCTAAAGATAAATGTCACCGAATTCATTGTATCTAATCAAATTAAGATTCACAGGTTAGCCCACTGCTGAGTGCAAGAGTTTGTTTGCCTAAAACACAGACAGGCAGGTACCTCTTTCGTTTGTTGAGTTTTTCCTTTCTTCTTTGTGGGATTTGTCCTCCAGGTGTCCTTCTTGGTCTTTATCTTCAGCACACATCAGTCCAGTGTAGCTTTGTGGATCATTTTCAGAGATCATGACATTTATTTTTTCTAACAAATTTGCTACCTGTTTTTCATCCATCATACTTCTGTTACATGTGTGGAACCTTTTTTCATTAAACTCTGTGTTAGTTTTCAGCTCTTTTAATGCACTTTCACATGTTTCACCTGTTTCGTGAGTTACCACTGTGATTAAATAAGAAAGTGCTCCTCTGCCAAAAGTTCTCTCTAACCACTGCACTCCTGAGCTGAACTGGCTGCTATGCAGAGTATTGGGTAATAGAAAGACAAAGGCACGAAATCCCTGATTTAAAGGGATTTCCTTTGTTTGTAGACAGAGCATGTTAACGACACAGATGTGCCGACCACACAGATTATAGAGGTTTGGTGAAAACTGTTCCACATTTGTTTGCTCGTCATGGTCAAGTAAAATGTTCTTTGGTCCGATCTCAATGGAAGCTGGATCACCAATTAGTACAAGTGTGACATCAGGAGCCACTGTAGAAAAAGAACAATATTAGCATGTTACAATACAGACATCATTTAAACCACAGTCTGAATAATTGTTTTTCTTGACAGTAATTGGATATAAGAAGAAATTAAAGTTATTTCTATGTTTTTAGTTTATGCCTGTAGAAATTCTTAAAGATATCAGATTTCTGTCCTTCAGCTTCTCACCATCTTCTGCAAACTGGTGTTTTCTAGTAATTTAATGATTTTTCACACAGGTTAAACTTAAAACACACACATTCTAAAATGTTAAGTCAGTTTTTCCATTTTCTTATTACCTCTCTCAATGGTGTCAGATGGTTCAGATGCGTTTTCAGACTCTCCTCCTGTACTTTGATTGATATTCTCTGACGGTTGAGTTTCGCCAGATTTATTTACTGGACCAGACTAAGAAAACAAGTGATTTTTATATAAAATACAGCTCTCCAGTTCAGCAATCTTTACTGAGAAGTGTTGGCCCCCAACCCTCACCCTCAAACAAAGGAACAAACATACATCTAAAAAAATAAGTAAAAAATCAGCAACATATAGAGTTGTGCTATAGGATTTTGCATATATTTTCTCAAGCTTTGTCAAGTTTTAATCAATTCTCTATCAAACAGGAAGTCAAACAAATAAAGTGCTCTTTGTATAGGGTGTGGCAGCAATTTTTCACACCAGCCTATTAATTAACGAAAGACCAAGACAGACTTTTAATTCATTTGAAAGCCTGATGCTTAGCCTTGTCCACCCCAGCTGTAAAACTCAGAAAC